GAAGGAAGTTTTTTAATCTCATCCCACTGGTGATACGCTAGCATTCCTTGGCTATATAGTTGATTAGGAACGCCTTCGATAGTCAATTCTACTTTTGCAATCTTGGGATTGTAGAACTTCTCGGTATTTCTTTTAAACGCATCGGAGGGGTCCTCGAACAACATTAAAATACCCTTCAATGATCTCGTGGGAACGTTTAGATTGATATTCCACATAGTATCTTTTCTGTCCCTCATGATCTTTCGATGTCGCAGCACGCGATCGTACAAAATGGCTAAACTTCCCGTATACTGGTTACGAATTTGTCTGGTTAATTCAGGATCCGTTATCATATCGTACTCCAGCGAGATATTGACAATGGAATAGCTAGCATCTTCAGCAGCTCTGATTACTCTGCCGTAGTCATTAAAAGTTAGCTCGTATTCTAACCTATCGCCTTTGGATGCTTGATAAAAGGGCATGTGGGAATCTAGTAATTCAAAGTCTAGGGGAACATAGAATCGGTTACCTAATGCGTCGGCAATGGCCTTATCTTTTTCGTTGGTATCAACACCATTTTCAGCGCCCACGCGCAGTCTCAATGTGTTCTTATTACAAATACCTTGGTACTGTAAGTTTTCCCGCTCTTTATCCGTTCTCCAGAGATCCATGTAACAATAGTATACATCGCTATCGTCGATACTCATAACCTCATTACCGCTAATTTTAATGGCGATTTTCTTGACGATAGCACGACCTATGTTCTGAACGGGCTCCCTGTTAACGTCTGTAGAAGTCAAACTAATCGTAAATGCTAGTCGGACAGTTCCCGGAACTAACACATCGTGTGCGCCGAGATTAGGAAAGCGAACCAGAAGCGTTTGATTCTGATCGATGGTACTAGGGTTATTAGTTATAGTTACAGACTGACGAATTGCTTTGACCCCTAATGGATCTCGAAGTCTTCGTTGTGGGTTTAACTTGCGTCCATATTGCGAGGACATTGTTATATTGAAAACATGTACCATATGTTTAATATAAAAATGACTGATTTTGATATTAATGACTTTGATCTAAGTACCTTTGATGATCCGAATCGAACCGAAGAGGGTACTGATGAAACCAGGTTTAGTAGTCTTAACGATGAACTTTTACAATCAAACGTCAATGATTATTACGATGCCTTAAAAGAAGATAAAAATTATGTTAACCCAATAGGCCGTGACCATTCAAAGTTTACGATAGATAGTAAAGGAATATTGCGACTGCGTGACTCTCCGGATATTGATCTTATGAATTCTCGTACTCGTAAACCCCTAGCCTTGTCTACTATATCCGGTAAACACGGCACCATGTTTGTTCGTGATAAATTAGGTTTTGTAGACTACTCGCGGCTTTCCGCGAAGACTACTAAGGTTCTTCGAACCGTGCGTACTGAACTCGGTAAAACAGATGATTTGGAAGCAGCCTCGATGGTGGCCTCGAACGGATTCGGAGAAATCTTAGATACCTATAACGATAATTCCACGTTACAGGTATCAGAGTTTAGTATTAGGGAATTACGAGGTCTTGACAAGGCAATGCGAACAATGCAGGGAGAACTGATGAATAATATGGCCAACATATCCGAAATCGACAAGCATATAGCTCAAGAGAAAACAAAACTTGAACAGGCGGGCGATGAGTTCAGTAGACGCCGCGTAGCGGAAAGATTGCGTAACTTAGAAGATTAAAGATCAGCCCGCCTCGAAGCGGCTTCCAGTAATAGAAAGGCACTTCGTTCTCAAATCAGTCGTATTCGAGAAACTATCGATCAAGTCCTCAACGATGATACTACACTGGCCGATAAAATTAAAACATTGTTCAGAGAACAGGGAATAACAATTGCCAGTATTTTAACCGCGTTGGGATTTATTATATCGACTTTGACTCTCGTATTAACAGGTGGTGGTACAGGTGGTGGTACACCGCCTAACGATAAAAATGTTATAAAAGAGTGGATAAAAAAGCATTTAAAAGCATTAGGTTCAGCACTGGGAAAGCTCGCTGAGAAAGCCGCGGCTGCACTTCCCGGCAAAATAGGGAGTGTTGTTTCCTGGCTATTGAATTTATTAGCTAAGACCACCACTTGGCTTAGTCAAAACTTGTGGGGGTTGATTGTAGCAATTGCAGGGCTGCTGTACGTGTTCGCTAAGAACTATTTAACCAAATCAGTTTGCTAAGAAATATTTAACCACCAAATCATGAGTAAACCAACCGAGACTCCACCCACTACAAGCGTTTTTTTTTTCATCGATATATTGTTGATTTTTAGCCTCAATATGCGGTGACACTTGTGTTTGTGCGTTAGTAGATGGTTGTGCATTAAAAGATGTTTTAGTACATAACTGCGGCTTGACTATTCCCTTTTCTCCCGTGATCGTTTGCATTATTAATTCGACGTTAATATCTGAATTTATACCTGGTTTTTGTTGATCGGTAGCGATAACAATTTTATTTTATAGCCTATCACTTGACCGATCTGGACCGATCTGGACCGATCTGGAAATAACAGCTGGAGTCTCGGGACTGGCAGGAATAGCGATAAAATTCATTTCTCGTAGGTTACAAAAGAAAGCATTAAAACACGATAGTATTCGGATACTCGCCGAAGCAAAGTTGAACAGCATTGAGGATCATATTTCGACAGCAATGGCCGATTGTAAGATGTCCGAGGATGAGTTTCGTTTAGTGCTGTCGGAACTCACCAAATACAACGAAATGAGGCAGGAGATTCGATCAAAATCTCATAAGACCAGTGGTATTAGTGAGGATGAGAAAAAAAAGTTCATAGAACAGGGGAGGCAACAAGCGCGTCAATTATTCCGTGCCAAAACCAAAGAACTGGTTGGAGATTAAAAATAGATTGCTTACTATCGTTTGATCACATTTAGACAAATGCTTACATAAATATATAATAATGGAGAAAGCTATTAAATGGAGAGAATTACCACAAGGTTTTTATTATATCAGTGATGTCAAACCAACCAAATACAGTTATCAATTGTTTCTTATCAATTTACAAAAAGAGTGTAGTTATATAGTCTGGTCTCCTAGTAAAATGAACGAAGAACTTAATAAAAATGTTGAATTTCACTTTATCGATAAAAATAATAAAGAATATTTTTATTACCATTTAGACTCATCTAAAGCAATGATTGGCTCCAGGTGGTGGTAAGCTAGAGTCGATTTAACTTAATCTCATGACTATCGTTGAATCGCATAATCATTTTGGCATAAAAAATCCCCCCTGTAGTAGCAGTATAGGTATATGAATCTGGCTCCAGTGGAAGTGGTCCAGAACCATCATTACCTATACTACTAATAGAGTTATCGTTCTTGTCTGAAGTAGTTCTGATGTTCATTCGCCAAAATTAAATCCTTCCAGACGGGTCACAATTGAACGGGAATTACACATGTCAATCAGGAATGGAGGCGTTCATAGATCTACCCCCATTCGTCACCACTTCCGTAACCTGCAAGAAGACTCGTCCCCCTATCGATAAATGTTATGTGCGAAAATACGACAAACCAATCAGAATGCGCGTATGACTTAAAGTTCTTCGTCAAAGAATCCCTCAGGAATAATTTTTGATTTTACATATCAGTTTTGACATTGCATCTAAAAATATATATGATATATGTGAAAATATATATGATATATGTGAAAATATATGTGAACCATGACGCAACGAGTTGACAATTATTTTGGGTATGCCGTTTGCGGTAAGACGGAACCCGGTCGCATAAATGGACACGAGTCGCTATTCGGCTTGTCCCGGAATAACACGAGTTGGTCACGAATGAGATCTACCCCGTGTGTGAAGCAATGCCTGACATCAAGTGATATAACACTTCCCCCTTACAAACACCCGGGCTTCACTGTGTCCCATTTGAGTGGCGTCGCTGTGTCTATAAATAGCTACCGGAGATAGTATATCTTATGAATTAAGCGACCGGGTCGTAAATGCATTACATACACAAGACATCCGCACTGACACACATGCAGCAGATATTTAATAGATGTTAAACTCCTTGTACATTAATTCATCAAATGTTCCAATGGCGCTTGTGTGTGCGTGGACGTGTGCGCGCGTGCGTGCGTGCGTGCGTGCGTGTGTGTGTATGTGTGTGTGTTTGGGGATGGGGTTGTTAGTTGTGGTGGTGGTGGTGTTGGTGGTGTGTGTGTGTATGTAGAGAGGGGGGATATGGTGTGTGTGTATGGGCGAATTAAACATTAAACATTGTGTGGGTATATGTCTTAATTTATCTTATTCTGATCTATGACGTTATACATATCATTTTATATTTAGTGTCTCTTAGGTCATACCTGGTGGGATGTTACTTTGTATTGTTTATGTACGTGTTTTAGTATACACACGTGATGCACGGGATGCTGCGTGGTTGTCGATAGGGTGTTTCAAAAGATATCTACTAGAAGAGGTATACTGCTTCGGTATTCGTCATTTTCATTATTAGAAGAATTATATACATTTATGAACAAAGTAAATACATATGTCTGTGTCATTGTGTTGTCATTGGCGATGCCATTACTCTGATTAGGCAAGACAGACATATCCTCCTTTTGCTTTCTGTATCGTGGAATATATTTGTTTTGGATTTTGGGAATATTGTGAATACTGAAGTATTGTGTGCGTGTGTGTGTGCGTGCGTGCGTGCGTGCGTGCGTGTGTGTGCCTATAACGAGACTGTGTAACTTGATTATGGATGTTAACTTAATCTTGTCATGAATATTGATTAATGGAAAGAAAAAATGCGTGATCAGATAAATATATGAATGGCAGCACACTGTTAATCGAATAACAACTGAGTCATACCTGTTATGAGGGGTCAGTAATGGCGTGTCGCTAGAGGCTTGTTAATCACTCCTGTTATCGGCAGTATTGAGTTTATCATACACACAACATGCACAGTGACAACAACTACGGCTACATATAACCTCCCAATCAGAGTCTACTCACCGATCCTTGATTTAAGTAACACAACATATCCGCGCTTGCCCTGGGTCTCTTCGCGTTCACCGACATAGTCCACAGTTTCAGCTGACGTCTTGATACCAATCTGAGATAAGTAAGCATTCACAAACTCCAAGACATTAACATTGCCCGGGAGACCTGTAATTAAAACAGATCGCGTTGTGAGTTCCTCTCGCCTCGACATTGTTACAAGACAAGCGCCATTTTGAAATGACACGTCGTCATATTATCAAAACGAAAGTAGGATTCCTTAAGTAACTTTCTCTTTCGTTTTGTTGCATTGTTGCGGCTACGCAAATAGATACCTAGAATCAGACGAGTTGGGGCGAATGTCACCATGAAGAAAACCGGTCTGTTATGTATAGTTTCCTTTCTGTCACATAAGTATGTGTACCTAAAATGGGTGGTAGTAATTGGAGGTATGAGAGTAAGGGACTGGTTATTATTTATGTTAGGTTTTGGAATGGGGATGAGAAGGGGTGGGGTGAGATTTCGGGGTGGGGGTGGGGTGAGTGTGGGGTGGGTGGGGGGGTGGGTGGGGGGGTGTCATGAAAACATAACACAGCGAAAGAGTGGGACGCCAACATTTATCATAACTGTATGAGAGGGTGGGTGGGTGTGGGTGTGGGTCTGGTGGATGATGTGGCTAATAAAAGCCACACAGCGTAATGTTGCCACTTTGGTAGCATCATTTTCGAATATTTTTCTCGTTATTTCAATAATTGTATATTGTTTTCGAAATTATTTTCATGTTTTTTTATTTTTTGTTTTCGAAATTTCGAGTTTTTTCTCGTTATTTCAAATTCTAAAGAAATAACGAAATCTCGTAATGGGGATTATTTACTCGTTATTTCGAAATTTATCAAATTTTATTTTCAATCATATTCTCGTTATTTCAATCATGTCTTAATCATTTCTCTTAATTTCGTGTTTTGTTCTTGTTACTTCCATCATTTGTTTCGTAATTTCGAGTTTTGAAATGACGAGGGAATAATCGAAATTATGAAAGTATAATGGAAGTATCGAATGGAAATTTAAAAAAGCAAACACAAAAGCAAACTTATCTCCCCTGAATCTGGCTGGCTGGCATTCGTTGGAGCAGATGAAATAATTATGAAATAACTGATCACCAAATTGTTTCCAAAATGCAAAGTTGGTACATGAAGTAGATTGGTATACCTAGAAAGATTGGAGAAGAGAAGATGATCGATCTTGCGACTTATAGAGCCAGGATCGTGCAGTTTACCCACCCTCCAGGGACCCGACAGGTGAGACATATCGCCATGGACGCTGAGTACACACCTCACACGTCGTGCTCTGATACACCGCTGCGTGTATCAGTCTGCATGGTCTTGCTTACACTCCACCTCATGCTTTCGGCAATTCTGCTAGCTAACAAACAAGTTCTCTCTAACGCCGTTGAGGATCTTCATCGTTATTTACCACATGAACACGAAAGTGTATGTGACGTCACTATGTTTATCCCTGTGACAAGTCATGCATGTCGGCCATGTTTTGCGACTTCATTACTCAACTGTGACGGTCTCCCCATCGCAGGATATGTAACGAGACTCCATATACTACTCTCTGGTGATGTTGAGACCAACCCAGGGCCTGTTACTATGGAAGATTTGAACAATGTAAAGACTGAGATCAAATCAGATATCCTCGCAGAACTACGGGATTTCAGACAGTCTCTGTTTACCGAGATGAGTGTAATTAAATCACAACTAACCGACCTTAGCAGCAAGTGTTCATCACTTGAGAACTCACTTTCAGAAGTGCGCTCAGAGGTAGAAAGGGTTGGACTTGAACAGGAGACTATCTACAGTGATATAGATGCACTCTATCAGAAAGTTGAACAACTTGAAGACAAGGTATCTAGTCAAGACTCTGATATCGACAGGTTAGAGGCCTTCAGTCGTCGGGATAACGTAGTATTTTATGGCGTGCCTGAAGAAGCTGATGAGACCTTCGAAATGTGCAAGGATAAAGTTATTACTATGCTCAATGAGCATGTGAAGACAAAGGATTGGAAACGCACCGATATTATACGGGCGCATCGGATAGGGGTCAAACAGCCGCAACCCAATAAACCCCGCCCTCTCATTGCTAAGTTTTCTCTGACGGAGGAGAAGATTATAGTACTGAAGCACAGACATACCTTGAGGAGTGTTGCTATAGGCGTTGCTAACGACCTAACCAAGCACCAGAGACAGACTCTAGCTGATCTGAGGGACAAAGGCCTAGATGCGTACTACAAAAATGGTAGACTGGTCACAAAACCTGGTACCCATGACAACACATCCAGACACGGTGAGGTGAGGTGAAATTGGGTTTAACGTCGCGTCCAAGATTATTGCACTTATATAGCGACGTGCATGCACGTGTATGTGTGTGTGTGGCTGCTCGTACTAGTCCGGAATGATGCCGATTTATAGTGCTAGCTCACTGAGATACCATGCCGCAGTTTACCATGAATACCCCACTCAGACACAGTATACTGACTCCGAGCCGACCAGTCCTTGTTTTAGCCCCTTAATGCCGAGCGCCAGACGGGGTAACAACAAGTACAATCTGTTAACGTCTTTTTGTATGACGCGGCCCGGGATCGAACCCCGGACCTTCCGCTCTGCGGGCGGACGCTCTACCACAAGACCACGGACGCGGTCACATCCAGACACGAATCGACACGGAGATATGTACATGCTAAACCAACCACTACTCTTCCTGTTTGCCGGAATGCCCAACCTCTAAGAGCTGTCCACTCCGCCCCCAACAGCAATTCCGAGCACAGTGCTACCGCGAACAGTAGCTAGGGATACGGCCCGGCCCCTACCATCACTTCTGAATTATCAGGTGCAGAACATTCCATTTCAATATCAAACCTCAAAATAGTTACATTGAATATTGAAGGTTTTCTTTCCAAAATAGACGATCTAGACTTTTTAGATTACATAAAAGGCTTCGAAATTATATGTCTAGTTGAAACATTTATTGACTATGCATTATCCATACCTCAGCTGTCAGCTTATGACACATATATTGCAAAAGCTCATAGGCTAGCTAAGGCTGGTAGACTGTCAGGCGGTGTAACGTTGTTGGTTAAGACTCGTATAGACCTGCACTGCCAACAGATTGAATTAGATATACACAATGTCGTATGCATTAAATTTGATAATTTCTCAACTCTTGGCAAAAACCTGTTATTATTTGGAATGTATGTTCCACCCATCGGCGCAACATTCTACGTTGCAGCTGAAAAGGCAACCGCCATTGAATTGGTTGACCAGTGGTTGATTGAGCATAGTGACTTAGACTGTGAGGTCATCATCTGTGGGGACCTGAATGCCCGTCTAGGCGGGGGAAACAACCCACCTGAGACACTAACTCAACGTGGCCTCAACAATGCAGCATTCCCCGATGAACCACCCGTTCCAGTAGAAAAGAGACAGTCATGTGATAGTTTTGTAAACGCTTTTGGTCGTAAGCTTCTGGAACTGTGTTTCACTCATGATTTATATATCTTCAACGGCAGGACAACTGGAGACAAAGAGGGTAGTTTCACTTACATAGCAGATCAAGGATGTAGCGTAATCGATTATTGTATAGGTTCAGTTAATGTTCACAATTGTTGTCAATCCATGTTTGTGGATACAAGAGTTGAGTCAAAACATATGCCTGTATGTCTACATTTGGACATATTTCTCCCTAAAGTATCTACAAGTGATGATTATCTTTCCACCAGAACACACCAATATAAATGGAACCCTCGTAAGCGTGATGTGTTTATAGGAAGTATAACAAATCTATGTCCATCCTTCAACGAGCTCATCGATCTTTTAACTTTTGATTTCAATCTTGCCCTCGAAAAATTTGTTAATGTTGTTCTTTGTGCCGCTGACTGTATGAAGGTACCTTGTGTTAAAAGTTCACCCCGAAATACGGGGTTTTATAATAGTGAATGCAGACGAGCAAAACGGGAAGCGAGGCGATACATGAGGAAATTCAAAGAGAAGAAATCTAACGAAAATAAGTTAATCTTTTGTAAAATGAGAAACAAGTATAAACATGTTTGCAGAACAGCAAAATCAAACTATCAATTTATGACACGAACAAAACTAAAGCTATCTCTATCTGATTCAACCACATTTTGGAAAGAGTTACGGAGTATATCAGGTCGTAGGGAAACAAAGAATAACATAAGTAAAGAGTGCTGGTTTGATCATTTTACAAACGTTTTTCAGTGTACAGATGTATTACATGCTGAAGTCGAATGTCAATGTGATGAAGATTTTATACTTGATGAGATTGACCAGCGTGTTTTGGAGTCGCCGATTACCGACTCAGAAATCCACAAGGCTATAAATCGTTTAAAGAATGGCAAATCCCCTGGTGTTGATGACGTGGTCATTGAAATGTTAAAATGTTGTGAAAATGTAATAACTCCTTTCCTACGAAATTTGTTCAATAAGTTATTTATTCTGGATTATTCCCTCAGAACTGGACGAAAGCTATTATCCTTCCACTACATAAGAAAGGTAACAAAAATAATCCAGAAAACTTTAGAGGGATATCTCTATTGTGTACAATTAGTAAGGTTTACACAAGTGTCTTAAACTCTAGACTTACAAACTGGTCTAATATAAGAAGTAAATTACCCGAGACACAAGCAGGCTTTAGACAGGGATATTCTCCTGCTGACCACATATTCACGTTGAATGCAATTGTTAACAAATGTTTATCGAAAAGAAAAGGGAGATTATACGTTGCTTTTGTGGATTTTAAAAAAGCCTTTGATTCAGTAAATCATCTTAAACTATGGGAGTGTCTGCACGATGTAGGCTTGGGTGGAAAGATGATGAGTGCACTTAAGGGAATCTATGCCTCCGTGAAAGCGTGTGTGAGATGTAATGATAACATTTATACAGAATATTTTGATTGTCCTAACGGAGTTAAACAAGGCTGTATATTAAGCCCTCTATTATTTTTATTTTTCATCAATGAACTGTCAAATGATGTTTCATCACATGGGAAACACGGCGTACAATTATTTCCTGACTTGTTTGAAATATTATTATTATTGTTTGCCAACGATGTTATTCTTGTCTCTGACACAGTAACTGGTTTACAGAACCAACTTAATATTCTTGATAACTTTGCAGATTCACATGGATTAACGGTTAATTTAGATAAAACGAGTG